AATATACTTTATTAGTTTTGTAGTTAAAAACATCAAATCTCTACTAAAATCAGAAGTGCAGTGTTTGTACATATTTACAAAATATACATCAGGTATATTTCACATTTAAATTGCAAAGAATAAGCATACCCTGACATCATAATTTTATCTTATTGTTTAACCATTCATACCACTTTCCCCATACCACTTGGTGTTTAGATTTCTCGTCGTTGTTTAGCTCGTTCGTTAGTTTTGACATTTCTGCGCACTCTAAAATTTTATTTATTAAAATTTCCTCTGGTGGTATGGTTTTATCTTTCCAAAATTTCGCGTAGACTAATCTGGCTGCTGTTGTAATATGAATTATATGTTGAATTTTATCTTTAGTAAGTCCATTCCTAATTATTCCCAAGAGAAAAGTTTCAGGGGATAGATCTAATTCCTCATCAATTATTTCCCGTAACCAAATTTTTCTTTTCATCAGACTAGACATACCCAGTTCCTGCAACCCTTCTTCATATGTTTTAGCCTCCAGTCCCCTAATCATCTTTGTTGCTCTTCTCTGCACTCTTTCCAGAGTCTCCACATCTGTTTTTCTTACATTGTGATGACCAAAGCTGGATGCAGAACTCTAGGTGTGGCCTTACCAAAGCATTATAAAGCAATACTAGCATTTATGTGGACTTGATTCTACTGCTGGTTCATATTTAAGTGATTGTCATATTTCGTACCTCATATTCAGGTGATTGACGCGCAGTGAGAAAGTAAAATAGCAGAATAATAGAGTTAGAAGGGACCCTTGGAGGTCTTCTAGTCCAACCCCCTGCTCAGGCAGGGGACCCTAGGTCCTAGCTATCTTTTAATGCTTTTAAAGATTATTTTAATGAAGGAGGAATCAGTGGGAAGCTGGCAGGCGGCAAAGCAAATGCTGACTGCCAGTGGTCAACTTTGTTTACCAGAATGCCTCTTGTTTTTTAAAAAATCAAAATGGTGGCAGGAAATAGGTGAATCACACGTGGATCACACGTGATCAAGTTGAAGATTTTGCAGCAAGGCTTTTCACTAGCACGTCTGTGGGTCGCTCCATGGAGATTGAATTGGAGAGAAAAAAAATCAAAGCTGAGCTCCTAAATGGACTATATTCCCAATAAAGCTTTCGGGCACAGTTAATCCCTGGTCTCGTCCCTCAAATTACCACCTCTCGTATTGCCGTTAATAGCTCTTCCTGGGTTTGGCAGCTTTAGGCTGCTCTCTTCTCACTCCCTCAAACCATCTCTGGAACTACAACGGGCCTCCTCTCTGGAGGAGGAGGAAGAGGAGGAGGAGGAGGAGGAGAAAGAGAGGAGGAGCAGAAAGGGAGGAGGAGAAGAGATGGAGGAGAGAGGAGGAGGAGGAGGAGGCAAAAGAAGGAGAAGAGATGGAGGAGGAGGGAAAAGGAAGAGGAGAAGAGATGGAGGAGAAGAAGAGGAGAAAGAGAGGAGGAGGAGGAGAGATGGAGGAGGAGGAAGGAAAAGGAAGAGGAGAAGAGCTGGAGGAGAAGAGGAAGAGGAGGAGGAGAAAGAGGAGGAGAAGAGATGGAGGAGAAAGGGAGGAGGAGGGAAAAGGAGGAGGAGAGATGGAGGAGAAGAGGACGAGGAGGAGGAGAGATGGAGAGGAGGAGAGAAAAGGAAGAGGAGTAGAGATGGAGGAAGAAGAGAGGAGGAGGACGAGAGATGGAGGAGGAGAAAAGATGGGGATGGAGAAGGAGATGGAGAAGAAGAAGAGATGGAAGGAGAAAGGGAGGAGGATAGATTTCCTGATGGTCTCCAGAAACCACTTTCAGAAAGTCTAGCCTCCTCCTCCTCCCTTCCTCCTTCATCTCTTCTCCTTCTCCATCCCCATCTTTTCTCCCCCTTAACCTTCTTTTCCTCCTTCCCCTCCCCAGCTCCCCCAACCTCCCCCCCAAGATGCAACCCGCAATCGGCAGCCGGGCTTCATGATCCAAGCCCAGGGGGAAAAATAATTAAAAAAACAACCCCAACCGAAGGGCTTTGATCCAACCACCTCCCCGCCTCCCCAGGGCAGGCTCTTTCGACTCTGATTTGATTCCTTCGTGGGGGGGGGAGGGCGAGGGCATCCGGGTGCCCCGTTATCTTCTCCTCTTTGCTGATGCACGGATTAGCCCGGGCGGCCCTACGTGTTTAACCAGCCCCGTTATCAGCCCGTCCTTTGGCCCTTATCAGAGGAAGCGACGCCTGCCGCCGGACCTGGTCTCTCTCGCCCTTTCTATTACGACCTGTCAGAGGCCAAGAGTGAGCTGTGAAACTGGGCAGCCCCGCCAGGTCTGCAGATCGTTCCCTGACGGCTGATCAAAGGGGCGCTCCAGACCTCTGATAACCGACCAAGGGTGGCTGGGCTTTTAAACTTGGGGTGGGTAGGGGGGAAACCCGTCCATCGCTCTCCTTCCCGCCTGCCAGCCAAATGGCAAAAACCAGGCCTGCTAGTGTGTGTGTGTGTGTGTGTGTGTGTGTGTGTGTGTGTGTAAACCCTACAGATTCGGTTACCTAATTGCCGGCCGAAATGGCATGCGATCCAGCGTCAAAGCTACCAACTGTAATCTCATTCCAAGCGGGAATGATTGAACGAGCCGCCCATCCGCAGGCAGCCCTGCGGCGTAATAGCCGCCAATATATTTTTTTTAAAAAAAAAAATTTGTACTTTGAAGTGATCTGGAGGCCGCAATCAGGCATTTAGTCAAATGTCAGGTTTTACTTTTTGGGGGGTGGAAATTAGGAAAACAATGGCGAGCTAAGGAAATTATTGTTGTTGTTGTTGTTGTTATGATTGTTTAAGCCGTGTGTTGGATTTCTTGCACCGGCATCTCCGAACGGCGGTTTCTTCCTCTTTTGGGAAACCCTTCCGTCTTGTGTTACCTGGTTTGTGTCACCGTCAGGCCGCTGCCAAAGTCAACCAGGTTGGCAGTGGCCTGAGAGACAGTTTGTCTAGTAGTTAAGGCACTCAGAAAGAGTTCTAGTCCCACCTTAGGTATGAAAGCTGTCTGGGTGACTTAGAGCCAATCATCAGGAGATGGTGAATTCTAGTTCCTCCTTAGGCATGAAAGCTGGCTGGGTGACTTTGGACCAATCACCCAGTGACAACTAGGGAATTCTGGGATTTGAAATCCACATATCTTCAAGTTACCATGGTCGAGAAGCACTGGTCCATTAGGACATAGTGTACTCTTTTAAACTACTGGCAATCCCTTTCTCTCCAAAGTGTTCACTTCAATTTACTTCCTGCTAGAAACGCAGAAGATTTCATGATTGTGCGCTTGGCCTTTTTATAAAGTTTTCAGGTATTAATTCTTTAAACGTGTGCACAAATTCAACTGTCCAATTCTTTTGTTTAACATAATCTGTTTTTAATGCCCAGTGTTCTATTTTCTGGGTATTATTTAATGCAAAGAACGATTAAGTACTATTCTGAGGGGGTTGCATTGTTTTTCTGGGTGGGGGAGGAGGCTGAGAGGGAGGGACCAACCCAAAGTCACCCATGTGGCTCTGGGCCCAAGGTGGGTGGGTGGGTGGGTGGGTGGGTGGGTGGATGGATGGATGGATGAATAGATGAATAGATGGATGGATAGATAGATAGATAGATGTGTGGATGTGTGGGTGAGTGGGTGGATGGATGGATAGATAGACAGATGATAGATGATAGATGATAGATAGACAGATAGATAGATAGATAGATAGATAGACAGATAGATAGATAGATAGACAGATAGATAGATGAGAGAGAGAGACGGTAGATAGATTGATAGATATGGTAGATTGATAGATAGATTACACACACACACACACACACAGATAGATAGATAGATAGATAGATAGATAGATAGATAGATAGATAGATAGATAGATAGATATGGTAGGTACATATAAAGAGAAAGAGGGAGAGAGAGCGAGAAAGAAATCGAATGAATACTATTATTATTATTATTATTATTATTATTATTATTATTATTATTATTATGAGCTTGTATGCTGCCCTATCTCCAAGAGGACTCAGGGCGGCTCACAACAATAAAAACAAGCAAAATCAATGTTAAAAATACCCAATAAGATTATAAAAAGACCATTAAAATCCCCTTTAAAACCCCTTCAGTCCAAACCAGCCAGGCGAAATAACCCTGTTTTAAGGCCATGGCGGAAAGAGCGAAGGTCAGGGGCCACCCGGAGCCCCAGGGGGAGCTGATTCCACAAGGTAGGTGCCCCCACAGAAAAGGCCCGCTCCCTAGGGGTCACCAGCCGACATTGTCTGGCCGACGGCACCCCAAGGAGGCCCTCCCTGTGGGAACGCACCGGGCGATGGGGAGCTGTCGCTGGCCGCAGATGGTCCGCCAAATAACCCGGGCCTAAGCCATGTAGGGCTTTATAGGTAATTACCAGCACCTTGAATCTCACCCGGAGGGCAACCGGTAGCCAATGCAGGTCCCTCAGGAGAGGTGTAACATGAGAGTGTCGGGACACTCCCATTACTACCCACGCGGCCACATTCTGCACCAGCTGAAGCCTCCGAGTGGTCTTCAGGGGCAGCCCCATGTAGAGAGCATACAGAATACAGAGGATCCTCAAGTGTCACCCACAACTGAGATCAGAATTTCCATTTTTCAACAAGGTGGTTGTTAAATGAGACGTACCTGATTTTACGTCCTTTTATAACCCATGGTTGTTAAGCAAATCACTGCAGTCCTTCTGTGAATCTCCTAACCGTTGAGCAAATCTGGCTTCCCCCATTGACTTTCCTCGTCAGAAGGCCGCAAAAGCCTGGGATCATGTGACCCCAGGATAGTGCAACCGTCATAAATACATGCCAGTTGCCAAGCGCCTGAATTACGATCCCGTCACCAGGAGGGGGAATGCTGCAACGGCCGTGAGCGCGAGGACCAAACCTAAGTTCCCCTTTTCTCATTTGCCGTCGTAACGGTCGCTGTACGGACGGTTGGTAAGCCTTGTATTCATCTTTGCCGAATTCTCTTGCAGGGACCTTTGACCGGAGCATGACTCTTCTGGAAGTCTGCGGAAGCTGGCCTGAGAGCTTTGGCCTGCGTCACCTGTCTTCCCTGGAGCAGACGGACGAGGGTCTTCGGGAAAGGCTGGCCGACGCCATGTCCGAGTCGCCCAGCCGGGACGTAGCGGCATCTGGAACAGGTACAAAGGAGACGCGTGATCAGAACTCAGGCTCCTCTCTTACCCAACGGTGATTTCCTTTCATTTAACTTATAACCTTCCGTTCTTCTATGGGTTTCTTTTTTTTTTTTTTGGTTCCTGTGGGTTAAAACCCACAGAGGGGCATTTCGCACGAACCCATCGGCCTATTTATAAAGCCTTGGCTGCACTCGTCCCTTCCTGTATATTCCTGGAACTCTCCAAAAAATTGCATTTTTTTCCAGCCAACAATACTCCAGAAAGGCCTTGAATCTAAAGCACAGATGTTCCGCAGAGGCTCTCTGGGGTTAGATGATTCTGGGGGGATGGAGGACGTTTCCGATCGGCTCCTGGTTTTCAGCTCTTGGCCCCTGACCTCCAGAGCTATAAATGCTTCCGGATCAGGCTGGGATTTCACGGGGAAATAGATTCCAATTTGTTCCTTTGTTGTTGTTGGTTTTGTTTTGTTTTTTTTAATAAAAAGAAAAAAACCCAGATGTTTGCTCCGTTACTTTCCTAAGCCCTTTCTTTACTCAAGCCTGAGGGACTACAGATTCCATCACTCCCTCCCAACTAGCATAGTCCGCTCTCAGTAGGGCAGGATGGGAGTTCAGATCCACCCCTGCTAGAGATTGACGTGTTGAGGAGGAATGTCTGACCGAGTTCCCTAGGATTGGAAAGCCAGTTTGCTCTAGTGGGGAAAGCAACAAAAACTGGGAGACTGTGAGTTCTAGTCGTGCCTTAGGCATGAAAACCAGCTGGGTGACTTTGGGCCAATCACCAGGAGACAGTGAGTTCTAGTCCCGCCTTAGGCATGAAAGCCAGCTGGGTGACTTTGGGCCAATCACCAGGAGACAGTGAGTTCTAGTCCCGCCTTAGGCATGAAAGCCAGCTGGGTGACTTTGGGCCAATCACCAGGAGACAGTGAGTTCTAGTCCCGCCTTAGGCATGAAAGCCAGCTGGGTGACTTTCGGCCAATCAGCTGGAGGCAGTGAGTTCTAGTCCCGCCTTAGGCATGAAAGCCAGCTGGGTGACTTTGGGCCAATCACCAGGAGACAGTGAGTTCTAGTCCCGCCTTAGGCATGAAAGCCAGCTGGGTGACTTTCGGCCAATCAGCTGGAGGCAGTGAGTTCTAGTCCCGCCTTAGGCATGAAAACCAGCTGGGTGACTTTGGGCCAATCACCAGGAGACAGTGAGTTCTAGTCCCGCCTTAGGCATGAAAGCCAGCTGGGTGACTTTGGGCCAATCAGCTGGAGGCAGTGAGTTCTAGTCCCGCCTTAGGCATGAAAACCAGCTGGGTGACTTTGGGCCAATCACCAGGAGACAGTGAGTTCTAGTCCCGCCTTAGGCATGAAAGCCAGCTGGGGTGACTTTCGGCCAATCAGCTGGAGGCAATGAATTCTAGTCCCGCTTTAGGCATGAAAGTCAGCTGGGTGATTTTAGGCCAATCACCAGGAGACAGTGAGTTCTAGTCCCACCTTAGGCATGAAAGCCAGCTGGGTGACTTTTGGCCAATCAGCTGGAGGCAATGAATTCTAGTCCCGCTTTAGGCATGAAAGTCAGCTGGGTGATTTTAGGCCAATCACCAGGAGACAGTGAGTTCTAGTCCCGCCTTAGGCATGAAAACCAGCTGGGTGACTTTCGGCCAATCACTAGGAGACAGTGAGTTCTAGTCCCGTCTTAGACATGAAAGTCATTTGGGTGACTGTGTGCCAATCACCAGGAGACAGTGAGTTCTAGTCCCGCCTTAGGCATGAAAACCAGCTGGGTGACTTTCGGCCAGTCAGCTGGAGGCAGTGAATTCTAGTCCCGCCTTAGGCATGAAAGTCAGCTAGGGGACTTTGGGTTAATATCCAGGAGACAGTGAGTTCTAGTCCCGCTTTAGGCATGAAAGCCATTTGGGCGACTGTGCCAATCACCAGGAGATAGTGAGTTCTAATCCCGCTTTAGGCATGACAGTGATGTCCTTCAGGTACTACAATCCCCAGCTCATTGTTGTCCACATTGTTGGGAGATTCGGGGGGGGGGTGTTGCAGAGCAGAAGTTGGGAGAGGCTGTTCTATGGTGTTTAAGCCAGCATTGCATCTCATACGATCCAAAACGGTCAGATGCTGGAAAGGAGAGAAAGATGGATGAATCCATTTGAAGCGAGGGAGCTTTAAAACCTGTGCTATTCCAATAAACGATTACATTTATTAATATTAGCCAGTACAGCTATTGCACTGTATTGCTTTCTCTCTGAGCCTTGACCCAAAAATCACCCTTATTCTTCCTTGCACCCCCTCTTTGCCCCCAGCAGGAATGTCACCCCACGTGTGCACAACAGTTGGCAGCTCTGCACAGATGAGAATTGGGGTGTGTAATTATCTGTCTTCCACAAAGTGCCGGCTACCCTAATCCAAATTAATCCATCTTCATCAGAGTCCATTACTGTGGTAAATTAAAGGGCCCATTAACATAAACGGCACGGCTCTTAGGAGATTATGCTCAAGAGGCCGTAGGGATCCGAGAACGCTCGCAAATTGCAAATGCTCCCTGCGTGGGGTGAGCGGGACTGGCTGTTCCTCTGAGCAGGAGGGCCAATAATTCAAATTCCTGTCTTGAGTGTCAGCTAAGGAATCCCAATAGTATCAGAACCGGAGATAGGTAGAAAGAAGGAAGGAAGAGGGAGAGAGGGAGGGAGAGAGGAAGGAAGGAAGGAAGGAAGGAAGGAAGGAAGGAAGGAAGGAAGGAAGGAAGGAAGGAAGGAAGGAAGGAAGGAAGGAAGGAGATGGAGAGAGGGAAAGAGAGGGATGAAGGAAGGAAAATGGAGAGAGGGAAAGAGGAACAGAGGAAGGAAGGAAAGAATGAGGAAAGGAAGGAAGGAAAATGGAGAGAGAGAGAGGAAGGAAGAGGGAGAGAGGGAGGGAGGGAGAGGGAAAGAGGGAGGAAGGAAGGAAGATGGACAAGGGAAAGAGAGGGAGGGAGGGAGGAAGAGGAAGAAGAGGGAGAGAGGGAAAGAGGGAAGGAGGGAAAGAGAGAGGGGGAGGGAGGAAGATTGAGAGAGGGAAAGAGGGAGGGAAAGAGAGGGAGGGAGGGAGGAAGATGGAGAGAGGGAAAGAGAGGAACAGAGGAAGGAAGGAAAGAATGAGGAAAGGAAGGAAAATGGAGAGAGAGAGAGGAAGGAAGAGGGAGAGAGGGAAAGAGAGGGAGGGAGGGAGAGGGAAAGAGGGAGGGAAAGAGGGAGGGAGGAAGGAAGATGGACAAGGGAAAGAGAGGGAGGTGGGAGGAAGAGGAAGAAGAGGGAGAGAGGGAAAGAGGGAGGGAGGGAAAGGGAGAGGGGGAGGGAGGAAGATTGAGAGAGAGAAAGAGGGAGGGAAAGAGGGAGGGAGGGAGGAAGAGGAAGAGAGGGAAAGAGAGGAACAGAGGAAGGAAGGAAAGAATGAGGAAAGGAAGGAAGGAAAATGGAGAGAGAGAGGAAGGAAGGAAGAGGGAGAGAGGGAAAGAGGGAGGGAGGGAGGAAGAAGATGGAGAGAGGGAAAGAGGGAGGGAGGGAGAGGGAGGGAAAGAGGAAGGAAGGAAGATGGACAAGGGAAAGAGAGGGAGGGAGGGAGGAAGAGGGAGAGAGGGAAAGAGGAAGGGAGAGAGGGAAAGAGGGAGGAAGGAAGGAAGAGGGAGGGAGGGAAAGAGGGAGGGAGGAAGGAAGGAGATAAGAAAGAAGGAAGGGAGAATGGTGAAAACAGGAGGGAAGGGAAGGGCGGAGGGATAGGAGAAGGAAGGAGTGGATAGGAGAATGGAAGAAAGCAAGGAAGATGGATAGAGGGAAAGAGGGAGGGAATGAATTCTAAATTAGAAGCAAAAGTCTGGTTTGCTCTACCTCAGAACTTCTCTTCCCCTGTCACAAGTCTGTTTTTCTCTCAGTCTGTTTTAGAATTTATCTCAAATTTCGAGGGGTAATTTTGAGCATCCTTTACTGACAAGGGCGGCGATCGTGAAATTTTGTATTCAAATCTTTTGTCCTCGGGGTACATTGACTGAGGAGAGGGGCACCCCACTCTGCCACCTTCTCTTGATGTTTCAGGACAGCCCATTGCAGAGAAGGGAAAGTCATCCCTGTGCAAGAAACGTGGTTTTCTACTCGGGGGTGTCTGCAGGCAGCCAAGACTGTGGCAGAATACAAATAATCCTCAATTTACGACCACAATTGAGCCCGAAATTTCCACTGCTAAGCAAGACCACTGTTAAGTGAATTTTGTCCCATGTTACAACCCTTGTTTCCACCGTTGTTAAGTGAATCATGTGGCCTTGAGGATGCTGTGACGGTTGTAAGGCAAGGACTGATTCTAAGTCATATTGGCCGGTCGCTAAACAAATCATCGTAAGTCGAGGACTGCCTGTAGAGCCAAAACTAAATTCCCCTGTTGTTTGCCTTTCTGAATACAAGTAGTCCTCGACTTACGACCGCAGTTGAGCCCAAAATGTACGTTGCTAAGTGAAACATTTGTTAAAGAGAGTTTGCCCCCATTTTACGACCGTTCTTGCCACGGTTGGCCATTGTTAAGGTAGCAACATGGTCGTTAAGCGAATCCAGCTTCCCCATTCTGACTTTGCTCGTCAGAAAGGCCGCAGAAGGGGATCACGTGCCCCCCAGGACACTGAAACCGTCATAAATATGAAGCAGTTGCCAAGTGTCTGAATTTTTTTGATCCGTGAGGAATGCTGCAATGGTCTTAAGTGTGAAAAATAGTCATCAATCACTTTTTTCAGTGCTGCCACAACTTCGAACGGTCGCTAAACGAACTGTTGTCAGTCGATAGCCTTCCTTGTTAAAAAGAGGGCTTTTTTTTTTCTCCAAAACACATAAATTGGACTTTCAGTTTCGCATAAGATTCTATATTGGTACGCTTAAGTAAAAAATAACTCCGGATGTTGGCACTACGAGGGAACCAGACGGAGGAATAGGAAGTGATCCATAATGTAGGAAAAGGGTAATTTTATCCCTTCCAAGGAAACGAGAGGAAAGGGGACTTAGAAATAAAAAAAAAGGGGGGGAACCAGTCACAAATTCACCAGAACCGGATGGTTCCCCCAAAAAAGGACAAGATTGTTTTGCAACTTCAGATGCCACACAGCTGCCTGAGAAATCAATGCGCTCGTCTCTCAAATGCGCAGCCCACGCTGGGACACAAGT